GATGTTAATGCTCTGCTTGTATTTGATGAACTTGAGACTAGACTTGCTTGGAGAAGAGTGAAGCTTTATGCTCCTGTTCCCACTGGCGGTGTTGTGGACGGCCTGTGGTGCTCACAGCTGACCTTCCCGGGCTGGCTCCGTCTGTCTCAGATTATACTGTCACATGGATGACTCACACAGCGAGCTCCTTCACTTGTGGTGCTCCTCAGGCCAGCTCATCCAGCTGAAATGATCTGGAGCCTTACTGCGATCTCAGGTTAATGAGAATTGGGAATAACAAAACATTGCTGAGGCCTGTGGAGGTACAGTGCTACAAGAGGAAACACAGGCCTCCGTGGTGTCCACATGGTTGCATCTGAGAGAGACTGGTCATGCTGATAGCATGTGCTAGTATTAAATCACCACTCAGGTTTGAAAACACATTAAGTCAGTAAAGAAAATACATGAATAAAGGCAAACAAAAGAGAAACTTGCTACCCTGCAGAATGCATAATAAATCATTTATTACGGTGGGAAAGAGACTTTCAGACAGAAATGGCAGCATGTGAGCCTACTTATCTCTGCAGGAAACAAGAACCTCTGGGAAACCTGTATCCACAGAACTGCAGCTGTAGAGGTGTTGGGGCTTCCATCTGGCTCCCTAAGCCTTTCTCTTGGTGATGTGAAATACTCATTTATTTATCTTGCTACTTCAGCAAGGGAGGTGTGTGCATTCAGGGTCCTAATGCACATGAACTATTTCCGGGGTTTTTTCTGATAGAAAATACTTTTTTGCTTTATCTGAGTCACATCACAGAGGAAACCAGTTTGAAATATCTTTGGCAGGTAGGTGGTTTGACAAAGTCAGAAAGAAGGAAATATGTCACTACCCAGGAGACAAGCCACCGTGAGCACAGGGGAAGCAGAAGGCTAGGGCTCTTTCAGGCCTACTTTGATTCAACTTTCTGGTGACAGATTTAGCTGCCTTCATGTGGCAGCTTGAAAGGACAGATTCCCATGGCCAAATTGTTTTGGACTGAATCCATTTGACAGGCTTTGACCCAGCTCCCTGACCAAGTTAAAATGACACATCCAACTTTATTTGGCGTTTGAACTGTGAGAGAAATTGCTTTCCTGCTCTGCCAGAGGCCTCTTTTACTTAATGTCCTGTAAAGAGGAACAAACTGCATATAATAATGACATCTTGTGGTAGTCTCTGAATTATTGCCCTGTAATTTAGTAGATAATTGGATGCCAAATTTCATGACATCTTTCTTCCTCCATGCTTCAGCTCTGCAAGTTCACACTTAAAATTTGCACTGCTCTGAGGAGCTGGATGCAGAAGACCTCTAGAACTTTTGGCTTATTGTAGATTTCAGAGGAAAAGGATATTTTAGTCCTTTGATTACACAGGCTTAACATACAGGTCAGAAATTCACAGTCATAACTGATGAAAGAATGGCTATCCAATAGTCATACAGAAAATACTACAGTTTTGATAATACTGAGTGCAGAGTGGCTCTGGCCCATAGAGTGAGCCTGCCTTTGCTATGGGTTTGTATTGGGTGAGAGAGTAAATGAAGATAGCCTTGGTTGGCAGCTTATAAAGCTCATCAGCTGCTGAACACCTGCGCTGAGCCTGCAAAGTCTTGGTGAGCAGCCACCACCACCCCACAGCTGGGGGTACAGAAATGTGTGGTGTTATAAAGAGTGAATCCCTCAGGCCTCACTGTACCCCTGCTTTGCTTTTACTGATTTCAGCTGTGGTGCTCAGGTCTTTAACTCCTGCCATGGACTGTGTGGGTATCCAAGGATCTCATGGAGCTCTAAGCTTAGGGCAAGCTGTGTGACAGTTCATATTAGAGTCCATAATCCTGACATTTTACTGAGTATCCCATTTTTCCTGCCCATAATCATTCATAACCTCATTCATGTTTATAAATATTTAAAGGGTGAGTGTCACGAGGATGGAGCCAGGCTCTTCTCGGTGACAAACAATGACAGGACAAGAGGTAATGGGCACAAGCTGGAACACAGGAGGTTCCACTTAAATTTGAGAAGAAACTTCTTCTCAGTGAGGGTGACAGAGCACTGGAACAGGCTGCCCAGAGAGGTTGTGGAGTCTCCTTCTCTGGAGACATTCAAAACCCGCCTGGACGCCTTCCTGTGCAACCTCATCTAAGGTGTTCCTGCTCCGGCAGGGGGATTGGACTAGATGATCTTTTGAGGTCCCTTCCAATCCCTAACATTCTGTGATTCTGTGATTCTGTGATAATCATGTTCTTGCTGATGTACTCTCTGCAGTGCCTGCTCTCGTTGAACTTAGAAGCTTTTCACAGCAAACTGCATGCTTTCCTGCCAGTTTTTACAGTCCTTATCAGCATGGAGGGGCTCAGCTTTTATCAGGGAGTTTGGATGTTGACTAAATAGGCATAATAAATAAGATTAGCAGGAACAACCTAGTGGTGTATTTCTACAGAGGTGTCTGTTAATCCTGCCACATGTTTGGTGGGTATCTTTGGGATTCATCAGGTCTTCAGTTCTATCCTCCTGTGACACAGCTGATTTCTCAGGAGGATTTTTTTGGATGTAGGTGGCTTAAGCTACATGCCGAACACCTTTGTTTCTTCTTCTGGGCTACAAAGGCCTCATAAACAGAGTTTATATGCAAGATTTATATACAGTTCTGTTTCCAAGCCATGAGGAGGGAGGCAGGAAATGATTGTATCACTTAGGAAGAGGTCAGTGGTGATGGTGAAATCACGTGCATGTAAGACAGTGCAATAGTGCACTGATAGGGTATGGAGTGACAAATCAGTGCTACTGGTCTCTGCATTTTATGTAGCAGGGCATCACTTCCCCAGTTGTCCCTTTCACTGTCGGAGATCCTGGTGTTCACGGTGGATATTGGGCATAATGTGCTTTGCCTACTTCCTTCAGGTCTGCACAAATGCAAGCAGGAGACACTTGCTGGATTCCCTACTGATACAGAAAACAGATGAAGGTAATCATGAGACTCCATGATTCTGTAACAGCTAATGATAGGTTTTTAGCTGTAGCGATCTTTTCTTTTTTTTTCCCCATAGGATAATGCCACCTACTGGACATTATTAAAAGAGGCAAAACAGTTCAAAGAAAGTAAATACTTTATACTGTTGGGTTTTTTTCAGCAAAGATGGTTGAACTTTTGACTGCCAGAGTTCAATAGCTAGACAAAGAGCTTCTATTGAGACATCCCGAATTAGCCACTTTAGAAAGGAAGGAAGAGTAGAGGCAGAAAAACCATAGGCAACACTATCTCTGGTAAAGAAAATGAAGTTCAAAACAAATAATATAGGCAAGATTTAACACAACAGTTTACATCCATTTTGCCAATGGGGCTATAAACAACAGTTTTGGCATTTGGGGGTTTTTGTTTGTCTGCTGTTTGTTTGTTTTACTGGAGTGTGTTGAGGGTGATCATTTTTAACTGCCCTTGAACTTGTGGTGGTAAAATTACTAATATTTAAAATCAAGAGGTCTGACTAAGAAGTTACCTTTACTAGAAGTTACCTCTCAACTAAAAGCTAAGAGTCTGTAACTGTTTCCAACCTCCCACTTCTGAGCTAGGGTAACACAAGGTGTGCCACTACTACAGACTCCACCAAAAGCCATCTCTTCATATCGCCATGCTCTTTACTGTCTGATTTCTTAGAGCTATGGCAGGGGGGATGTCTGGCTTTGTTAACATTGAAATTATTGATTGCTTTTCTTCTCTCTTTCTTTTTTCTGAGATGGTATATTGGCTGGGTCTCTGCAATCAGTTGGCTGAGAATGGGGGAGTAGAGGGGGAGATGCTTTCCGAATGGTCTCCCACTATGATCACAGTTAATAAAGCTTCTCTTTGGCCTGTCCTAAATTGTACTTGTATTATTATGCACTTGGAGTTCTCAGATTCTCTGACAAACTGCACTTAAAAATACAAACAAAAACTTAAAAAAGTTTCCTGAGCTTTGTCAGATTAAGATGGAATCCAAGAAGACTCTACAGATCCACTTGGTCTCATTGTGGCAGTGTGCAAACACAAACTTTCATACATTGACACTGCAACAACAGATGAAATTATAAAAGCCCACAAGGACAACGCTCTGATTTTGCTCAAGTAAAATTCAACACTCAAGTACTGAAACTGCATTTATTTAACAGCCCAAACCACAATTCATCCCTGATAAATAATACTCAACTTTTTAACTTACAAAAATCTCTATGGCTTGATAGGATTGCTCACAACAGTAAAGGGCAACAGGAATTAGGTTTTAACAGTACTTCAGTTCATAGATACAATAAAGGAAAAAATGAATTTGTTTTTCACAGCATATCTAGAACATAAAATAATCTGAATTTTCAAAGCTTTATTAGTGTCTCTTCCATTTGTGAACAAAAATAATGGGATAGTTAATATAGCTGAAAAAGAAATATCCTAATCTGTTCAATAATGCCTATCATTGTCATATACTCTTATAAAACCATATTTATAATCATTCATTCGAGTATATTTTGACCTAAAACATAGATGCAGTTTCTGTGTGTGTCAACACATTCAGGCTTGATACTGGTTTTGCAGTACTGAAAACATTATAACCAACAAAGCATGTATGTAAGACTGACAAGTTTGCATTATCATAGATATTTTAAAAAAGATATATGAGTATTTTTAAATTAATTTTATCTACAGAGCTATAAACAATTCAAAGGCAGATTATCTAAAATCCCAATCCTCTCCTGCACTGAAAGAGCAATCAAGTAGTTTAATGCAGAGGCATATGAAGTAAATCAGAAGAGCTTCACAGACTTCAAAGGGGCTGTCGGAAATTATTCCCATCCCTTAATACATGTTTATCACTGTTGGTGTTCTTGATGTCTTCTTTCTTGTTCTTCAAATTCTCTTTTATTTTGCTTTTGTTCAGTTTATTCATAATCCCTTGTGAGAAATGTTTCTTAATTATTTAACTTCTGTAATATGATGGTAAAGTCAAGAGACTGATTGGAAAATTTCTTTTATAGAAACTTTGCAAAGCAGTGATCATAATGAATCTTTTTTTTTGTATTTAATGGAGTAAATATGAATAGTGTGCAGATGTGTTGCTTTTGCTCATGTCATTATTATGTTAACAGTCTCTGAGACCAAGTTGGACTTGATTTCAAAGTTATTTTAAAACTTGGCACTTTTCTATGAAAATCTCTTTCACTTTCAGTGTTTGACAAATGGTGTTTTACTCCTGATGTTTGAAATACGGTATCCATCTCAGGCCCCTTACAACTTGTTTGGTTTACAATCTTGACCTCAGCCTGCCTATAACGGGTTTATCAATACAAAATTCTGCCCACCATGAAGGTCTCTTCAGAGCTTTGTTGCCTTGAAGGATCTCTGCCCACATATTTTTATATAACTGCAAAATAATAATAATAAAGGATTAGTTCACACAGAAAATAAAACCAGTAAGACTTCTGTGAGATACATTATTTAACTTACTGGTTATAATAAGATTGTGATTGAATTTCTAGATAACAAATGTGAATAATTATGTAGCCGCAAGAATAAACACAAAGATAAAGCACAACATTTCAAAGTACCATGAACATCAGATATCTGTGTAAATCATTTAGACCATCCTTAGCATTAAAGCAGGAAACCAGTAACCTGATAATTTCTTGTTTTCAACCTGACACAAGTTGTATTACCAAAGGTAGAAATTTGGGAACAAGGTTATATTAAGCTAATCTTTGTTCTGTCCAAACCTGAAGACTGTGTCTGAAAGCACCTGTGCATGTCTGCTTTTACCTTTATTGCAATACACTTCTGGAAAGTAACATAACTTCTCTCCCAGATGTGAACTGTTCATTCTGAGCATAAGAAATTCCTCTCTCATGAGCAGATTGTTAATTCATCATCTTCATCAATTTGCAATTTTATGTGGAACAGTTAAAACATACATGGGAAGTAAATTCTGCAAAAGTATAATTTTAGCAATATTTGGCAGATTATAATTAACTGAAGCTTAAAAATTTAAATAACATTGTAGAAAGATGTGGAAAGGAAGGACATATTTTCAGCAGTAAGTTAAAGTTCAGTAAAATACAATATTAACATAGTGTAAAAGTAGTCAATGATGTAAAGTGAGAAGCCTTTCTTCTACATCAAAAGATGGCTTGGCCCTATGTATCTGTGATGATTTAAACAAATATTGAAATAGAACCTATTTAACATTAAATATATTTTATCTTGATTACATGGGCTAGTGTTAACTGTTTATTCCATTCAAAATTTATTACTGTCTAATAATTTTTAATTGATCTTTAAATAATTCTGGCAATAACTTTGTATACTGAAGCTGAGATTGTCAAAGCTTCTATGAGGAAATGATGTCCACACCATCAAAGTTTCATTTAAAGAGGAGAATCTGAATTCTTATTTAGTGCTTAAAGCTGTCTGTGTCAAATATGGAAACCTTTCCTCTGCTCCAATTATGATCTGTGGCTCACGGTGCAAGACACACCGCTACAGTGCAACACGCATTGTCCCGAATTAAATTAGTTTTCCTATTATGCTTGGATAATCTATTCTTTACCATGCTGTAATTTTTACTAAAATGTTTGCATTGGTTTTGAGAAGTTGCAAAGATAGCAATGAATAGAGAATTAAATACAGACAGCCAGGAGACGAGGAGCTTTATTAAGTATTTTCTTTGAGTCAGGGATTAGCAGCCTTTTTCAAATTTCAGTTGAAAATATTTACACAAGTTGAAAACCACAGACTTAGTGGCAGTTCAGAAAACCTTCCAGAATTCTGCAGAACATGGGTTGGACATCACTGCTTGAAATTATTTTCTCAATATGACTCGCTGAATTTACAAAAACATTACCTAATAGTACACAAAAAAGTCAGTAGCGTTTAGAGTCCTATCTGCATGTCTCACATATTATATTCCTAATCTTAACCTCCAATATTAATTCCTCGTACTAATAAGCCTCTGTGGCTTCTGTATTTGTGCGAACTAAGAGCTAGCAAAAGAGGAGCTAGCCAAATCCACTACATGACACCTTCCTCAGCTGCTGTATAGAAGTCTCCAGCTGACTGCTAGAAAGGGAGTAGTATTCTAGGAATGGATCACTGTGTACTTGCACTATATTTTATATTCCTGCCTATAGCATCTGCTCGCAACTTCTGTTAGAGACAGAATATGGACTTTTGGCCAATACAGATTTTCTTAACATTCTTACAGATGATGTTCCTTCTCTTAGAGTTACTTTTGGAGCTTCCCTCCCATGACCATTAATTTAATCCTCAAAAATCTATAGAGGTAGAAACAGAATTTCCAGTGATGATTATAGTCATCTGGCTGAGATGGCTGGATATATAAAGCTAGCCTTCCTCCTTTATTTGTAGAGACTGTGTTACCAAAGTAATCATTCTGTTAGGTCAGTGTCTGGTTAGAAACATCTGGGCTGCCTTCTGTATTGCTTGATCACCATGGGAACGATGGACAACTTCAGCCATGAAGGCACAGGCAGAGAATATTGAAAAGCATTGAGCACACCTGACTCAGCGATCCTGTCAAACTTCCTGGCCATCTCCCCAGGCTCTAGTGATTCTCTACAGGCTCTATCCATGCTAAACCAAACTACTGTACTGTGACACCAGACTCTACATAGTAGTTATCCCCCAGCTTGGCTCTGTGGAGTAGGATTGGCCAGTAAGCAAGAATTTTTGGTTGCTGAGACTTTGGAACGAAATATAGCTCATTAAATACGTCAAAGTAGAAAAAAATCAGAAGGGCACCATAACATAGTATAGCTAAATTCATGGTGCACCCACATCCTGAATCCTACTTCTAGGTCTGGTTATGATGCCTCAGAAAGGATATGGCAGAACTAGGAAAGATACGCAGAAGGAAAACAAGGCCTGTCACAGGAATGAAAAGACCCCCCCACATAGAAAATATATACAGACTCGGACTAGGAAGTATTTTTTTCACAATACTCAAATTATGAAAATTATGGTGTCATGGAAGTCAAAAGCCGAATCTGAATTTGAAAATGGATGGGAAAAATGAATGGAGGAGAGATACATCTGTGGCTATTAAATAGAATGATACAAATAAAACCTAAGGCTTGAGATATCTCTTAAAGCACCAACTGCCAACAGTTGAGACACCAGGGAAGGGACCCCTCATTATTTAATCTGTTTCATACAGCGTTTTCCTCGGCCATCCTCAGTTACTGAGTATTCTGTGAACTGGATCCAGTAGGGCCATTCTTATGTTCTTGATTCAGCTTGTGCTTTGTATAATTCAGACTATACGAAAAATACCTCTTGGCCTTAACAAGGATGGATTCATCAAACCAAGGAGAAGTGCTAATAGTACAACATCCTTGAAGTCTGTATTAAGATCACTGAGATCACTTGGGTAATGCTGTACATTGCACTTATTAGTACAAGATACTCTGTCATATCCTAGAAATCCCACTGGATAAAAAGATTTTCAAAGAACTCTGCAATTTCTGATGTATTTTTTAACTGGACTATGTTTTAAATTTCCCTTTCTCTTATTAAAATAACTATTTTATGAAAAATTAAAAGAGAGAAATAATTTCACATCACACAAGCTGGGTAATATGAATACCAATAAAAGCCGCAAAAGTCCTAAGCAGAGAAGAAATACACCTTACTACCTCTCCGAGGTATTAAGCTATATGCCAAAGACATGTTATTCTTTAAGGAATCTTCGGAGATGGTATAATTTCTTCTTTATTTTTTTGTTCAGCAGCATAGATGTCCACAAGAGCAAACTGGAACAATACTGTATGAGTTTCCCATTGAAGCCTATCTCCAGCAAATGCAAAATGTTGTTTTCTGCTGACATCAATTTAACTATGGTACATTCCACTGAATAAAGTGTTTTCTTTTGTAGCTGTGAAGTGTCTTGAATATGTTACGGCTATTTACAGGCAATAGCCTTCTTAATGATTAAACCTACAAATTTTGAAATGGGTTTTCTTACCTCTCCACTAGCTTTACCAATGGGAGAGTTGAGAATGAAGTCAGGAGGAGCAAAGACATCAACCAGGGCAACTGCATCATCTTTCAACTGTTTAAAAACAAAAGGCACACATTTGGCAATTTCTGTAGTTGCTTATGGCTACCCATGAACTACAGAGCAGCATAAAGTTTATTTTCATCAAGTACCAGCTATTGGTAATTTAGAGAAATCCACAACAAGGAGTCTAGATTTGATTTGCTTTTTTCTTCCCAGGAAAATTGCCAAAAAGAGTGTTTTTTAAATGTTTTCCTTCTTCACTTAGGGAGTTTAAAACATATTTTAACCAAGATGATACTGTTTACACACATAAAAACATGTATTTCAGAATTTTAAAAACATAACTTCCAGATTCATCATTGAAATTTTACTTACCTGTGAAGAATATGATCCAGTTTGAAAAGCTTTTATGTTGAGAAAAAAAGATTAACTAACACAATAATGAAATAAATAGAACAGGATTGCAATATTTCACTGGCTTTCCAACACAGATTGCAAGGGCACAAATGACAGAGTGTTATTTTGTAAGATACAATGTTTCAGATTTTTTGGTAAATAAACTAGGACTAATTTCAAGGTCAATGAGTTACTAAATTTTACAGGAAGTTATTTAGAAACTATTAATGTAATATCCTGCTAATTTACCCCTTGAAGTTTAGAATAACTGATACATCTCTTTTTTAGTATTTGTAAACTATATTATTATTTAATAACAACAAACAATCTTGAAGGCTTACCCTGTAGCAGAGGTCCAGAATAGCATTCTGAATAAATCTCCCAGCTTGTTCACCGGAAGCATAGCCACCTGCAAGTACATTCACAAAGAAGCATATACCAGTTAAGATTACACTGATACAATCCTTTACAAAGTAGTTTATCAGTTCAATATTCAGGAGACTAAACAGATTCTCCTGTGTAACTGGATTGGCTGTCTTTCTCTAATGAGAGGACTCCAAAACTGTCAATTTAAGACATTTGGAGTCTTTTGCACTAAGAAGCTGCAGTACAGCATCTGGCTGCCTGTCCTCCATCCTCTCTCCCAAGCACTGGACCACATCAAATCTTGTGAGCCCTGCATCAACTCTGAGCTAAGAGTCTTTTGGGTTAATTTGTAGCTCCAGTTTCCTGCTCCTGAAAATTTTGTCCAGAATGGTTGTTTCACATTACACAGGCAATAAGAAAATGCCCTAATCTCAATCTTAATTCCCTCCCCCTGCCAAGATACAATAAGGGAAAAAAATCCTCATCTTTAAATTAGGACTTTTATAAAGTGACACGCACAGTATATTCAGAGTGCTGATCTCACCTTGATAGAGCACAGCCAGATGTTTACTTAAAGACCAGAGTCCATACAGAGCACTGAGATTCTTAAGCACTGGCTGCAGACTAGATGGTATGTTGGGATCATGAGTGTAGTCATGGTATCTTTGCAGCACTATTTGTTCGATAAAAGCAACGGCTAATGATCGACAGTAGTAGACCTTAGGAAACAGAAAAAAAGAGCACTGAGTAACAACATACAAGGAACCAATCCTTGGTGTAAAATGACATTGCTCTGGTAAAGTTGGAGATCTGTTGATTCAGATCCACTGATCTAGCTTGAGGTTAATGTCTAACAAGATACTCTAAAAGATAACCATTTCTACAATGTCTTTGCAAACGTTAGTAATGAAATGCCTCATGAAATGCCCCTTAGAAATAAGATCCTAATTTTCCACTGTGTTCCAGTTTGGGTGCTCCTTATAGTAATCCAAAGGGAGCACAGATTGTACGTCTTTTACCAGTGTAATGTAGCAGTTGAACCCAGACTGGGATCAAGTAGCTACATCAGAGAGACCATGCAAAATCAGGTTTGCTGAATCTAGGATCATTAATAAACCTTTACAACTTTAATAAGATAAAGGTAGGTTTATATTTATTTAACATTATACAGAATTTTACAAAGAGGATAAAATCTTTGAAGTGGTTCAGTAACCTACTGAAAACTTATGATAATGCATTTAAATGATAACTAAAAAATTGGATCATGTTAGCATAAGTGCATTCTGTTTATGGATTGCAATAAAGTGCAGTACGTTTTGAAAGAACTGTCCAACTCATCTTTGCCAATATCTGATCAGAAAGGCAAAAGTCACCAGTTACTGTTAATACAATGTATAAAATCTTAAGTGATTGTACTCACACAGGAACACTTCTCTACTTTTATATATGTCACATTTGCTGCATCACAGCGTATGTCCTACTACCATGAAATAGAATGCTGACTGAAAACACTCTTGCTGGTGACGAGAAGAGAATATGAAACCATTCCTGTTGTGGCTGATTTGTTGTAAATTTGTGTTTGGTTTTAATCCATTTGTTCAGTTGTTTTTTTCTTTAATTTAGAATTAGCTGATTAGTTTTTCTTTTTCTTTTGAATACTTGCATCATCCTTGCATTTAAATCCACTGTGGCATTTAAAAAGGCATATTCCAAAGAGTACTGTCTCTCTCTTGAGAGCTGTTCTGTGACATGCTTATGTCCAGGCTGAGATACAAGTGTGAACTGCAAAATACTCATTCATCCTTTGCAGATTTAGGGAGGGCTTCCCCCTTACTACAAGGACTTTTTAGATATGAGTGTCAATTCCCTAGTCAGAATGAAGCATTAATTCCCTATTCTTCTCCCCTATAATTCTATTTTTTTCTTTACCTTTGCTTGCACTTCTGTATTGTTTCTATCAGGCTATCCCCAAACTAAAATAGCCTAGGGATAGGCTAGGAATCATAGCAAGAACAAATATTATATATTAATCAGCCACTGGGATGACAAAAAGGTGCTTCCTCATGCCCAGAAAGTTTTAAATCAAATAAGTACATGTCTTTAAAGCACAGCTTGTAAATAATTTTCAGATATTTTTAAGGCATGCAATTTAAAAGGAAAACTCCTGCTGTCCTGAAGATGAATTGTAAGGAGAAAAAAAACCCCAATGACCTAAGGTATATCAATGCCTATCTAAAGAGCAGTTGTGAGGCTAAGTATCTTTAAATTTTAGCACATTTGGACATAGAAGAGAAACCTCATACTTCTGAGCAAACCCTTCTTTCTAACACAGTGGCCCTGGCACCAGCCTCCCAAGAGGCAGCCAACTGACAGGCAATCAGACTTGAACTTCTGGCAATTCTCATTCTGAATTGACCCTGAAGAGTTTCTCTAATAAGCTGCTTCTAGGGTAAAACCAGGCAATATTTCTTCCACTCTACCAGTGGTTTCACACAGACCATCCCCTATTGAAGCCAGGATGGCTCTTTCTAGGTGCAGAGTTGAATATTCCTTCCTGATGTTTTTTTAATGAGCTTTCCAGATAAGGTGAATGACACTGGCCATCTTCAGGGAGCAGATCTCTCTCCTCAGTGACAAATGCAAGTGTTCTTTACCTTGGATGTGAGCCAGTTTTTCTTATGGAGTTAACGGCAGAATTTGGGGAGCTTGGGGATATATACTGAAATTTGGAGCTAAGCCATTCCTAGCTGTTAAAACTCATGGGCGAGTGAGTGGATCTGCTATATGTAGATTGTCAATGTTTCCTTTTCAGGTTCCAATGCTGTCAGTCTGGTATCTTTCATGAGTAGTCTGTACTATAGAAATTAGAGATGGAAAAGACCTATTAGGTCATAGAGTCTACCTACCTGCCAGAGCAAGATTCTTTCCTACAGTATGTATTTGGCCACAAGACCAGATGGAGATTTAATAATCAGATACTGCAGCAGATTTAATAGTAGTAGATTTAGTCTTCAGAAGCTGTGCTATCAAAATTCCAGGCACCACTCAGCACATGCCTGCAACTTTTCTGAAGGAAGATATATCCTAGAAGACAACTTCTGCTTATGGTAACTGTTCTCCTGCTATCATGTTCAATACGATGCACATGGACAGGTATTACACTTTATTAGTTATCTGACTAGCTGTTTTATGCTTGAGGAAATTGTACTTCATAACACAAGAAGATAAAACTAACAGAATGTGACAAACCTGGATGAAAATAAGTAAAATAAGAAAGCTGAATAAGTATTACCTGACAGTTGTTTTTTGCCTCAAAATCACTTCGGCCAGACTGCTTCTCCTTGCTTAGCTTTAGGTCACTTTCTCGGAGCAGGTAGCAAACCAGCCATTTATATGCTGCCAAAGGAACTGTGAAAAAGAGAAACCCCAAATTCTTAACATTCACATTTATACTGCAAGAAGTCACATGCAGATTCTACTGCAGTCTCAGTTTTTGTTACCCAAGATGAAAAGTTAAAGTGTTAATTAATCAGCTCATTAACATGACACTTTGCCCATTACTGTAGATGCAGAAAATAAGCTGGGTAAGGCAGTCAGATTGTAACTGTATAGTGAAGCCATACCATGCGTGACCATACGCTAGTTCAAACTGACCTGAAGCTAAAAGGCCAGGTATATCCACAGCTTAATTTAGATACAAATATTTTCTGACTCAATCAAATTTTTTAGGCTTGTTATTTTCTTCCTATATTAAGACTTAGGTCTACAAAGTACTCAGTCTCCTCTGAGAATACAAGAACAGAAGACAGTCCACATTTCATGGACCCCTTTGCAATTGTGAAATGATGCTACGTACTGCCAAGCACATGACTTCTAACATTGCAAAACTGGCTGAATGTAATTGCATTTGAATTACTTGCTTTGTATGTAAATGCATTACATTTTTAGAGAAGCCTGAAACTATTAAGGAAAAACAGTACTTCAGCATAAAGGCCTTGTATTAATCCTGCTTGTGTCTGAGCTTGAGATTTCATGTAGAATATTATTTCGGCAATTGTGAGTGTTCACATGCTGCCTAAACATAGGTACCTAAATTAACAGTTCAGTTTCTAACAGAATGCAACAATAAACAGATTCAGATATTCTTAGAGCTATACATATTCTGGTTCAGTAGGTATTACAGGAGAGAAGAGAACATGTGCTTAGGTATCAGTCTGTGTTCTGCTGGATTTCACAAGTTGGAGACATACAACAAAGAAGCAAGCAAGCAGTTGTGTTGAACTAGTCCTTTTCTTATAAACTTTTGTATTTTGAAGATTTTACCCCTTAGTTATTATGATACTATCTCACTTGGTACTGTGCATCACTATCAGAAGTTCAGCTTTTTTGCAATTATTTGAGCACTGAAGTGGTTACTGAATTCTAGGAATCCACTTGATTGCCCCTTATATATCTAAGACTGGAGTTTTGTTCCCTGGTATGTTCTCAGTTTCACAAATTTGCTTTTGCTCAGTCCACTGTCACTACCTCATTATCTGCTCTTTTCATTGTTAATTTTTGCCTCCAAGGGCCAATTTGGGTTCACAGTGATACAAAAGTGGGAATGGCATCTAATGTCATACTTGATTTAATTATAGTGCAGTAAGCCAGGAAAACTGCAGGGAATCTTCTTTCACCATTACTCATTTTCCTCCATGCAACCAAAAGCAACTGTCAAAAGCAGAGACACTTAAAAACCTCTTCAACATATTTCTAAATCACAGGTGTGGTTTCTAAAATAAGATATCTTAGTGATATAAGGTCATGGCAGTCAATGCCCCTCACAACAGTTTCACTTGAAAACAACAACAAAGTGGCAAAAAACGCTAGATCCCAAATGCTATTTTAGAGGAACAAAAGTATCTGACGCTACCTTCCATTTCAGAATTGAGGCTGAGGACAATAGGACATAGTTTAATGCAAACCATGTTCTTAGTAAATTGAAATGCATATCATACAGCCAGCAAATAGTAATATAAGAAATATCTAATAAGTAGCAGAGTTTGAATCTCAGATCTCTGGATCCTTTCCTCTGGAAAGGAATTTAAGATTCGAGAATCAGTTTAGCAGCAGCAGAAGGCTACCTGAGGAGTCCATGCAATCTTCAACACTAATGGCTGTGAATTTCCAGCTAAGGATATGATGGTAGTCTTGCAAAAAGTTTATTGTTCCAAAAGGTGATTCAAAAGGAGCTTTATCTGAAATACCAAAGAAAATAAAAATTATTTATGAGAAAAGAAATCAAACTCTTTGGAACTAAAAGCCTATTATAAAGCCATGCACACAGTTGATAGGCCAGATGCAATTAGGTCATATCATTTATTTTAGTATGGCCTAGTCCAGCCAAATGAGGACTGGTGGATGAGTGCTGAAAAACCTGACATCACTGCCTGTAAGCCCTGTAAGATTCAACCCCTATTGCCGAGTCTTCCAGTTCTGTAAGATGCTGGTGAAACTCACTGCTACAAAATTGAAACAAAGTCATTTATCTAGAGAACTACAAAATGTACTGATGGATATTGTAACCACATTAGGTGATACCAGTCCTTTTAAGAACAATGAGCAGAGGGTACCCAGACTCACAAGGACTTTAGGAGTAGTTCTAAACTGCAGGGAGTAAGATACTACTTAACCTGATGAGGGATGGCAAAACGTCTAGCTATCTTCTGCAAGACTTAAGAGAAAGAATATTTCTTGCAGCAATTATCTGTGTATTGTGAACGTATCATATGATGGAGTCTGTAGCACATTATTTATGCTCTACAAAATGATTAAATTACTGCCAATTATTTTCAGCATGAAATTACCTCCTAATTCCATTAGTTACACACTGTTGGGTCCAGCATAGGATTCCACAATGAAAACTTACCTCTTACACAATTCATCCAGCTCACTAAGTAGTTGCTGGTTTGCTGAAGCAGGACATTGTTATCTCCCTCATATGTACAGTTTGGATCATTGTCATTTCGGATCTCACCCAGACGATTCACTTAATAAGAACAAGTGCACAGTTTAATATATTGCAATGTATTAATGAAAGCTAAGAGGGATTAAATAATTATTCTGTGACAAAATGCAGAAGAGTTGTCTGTTCCTGTATGTATAACTATTGTTAGCAACAGATGAGCTTGGAAGTTCACTGTTTAGCTTATGAAAATGAAGATACTGGAAAGATTTTAGAGAAGTGTGTCATTCATCTTACAACAGGAATTTCCATCTATAAAGTCTGCATCTTTATTTTTGGAACTGAGACTGAATCACATACACAGTCTTCTTCTGTCCAAATGCTGGTGCAGATGCTGCACAGGTTTAGTTCTTTTTGTGGTATCAGGTATAAAATGAACTTTAAAAATATGAATATGAGGGAAAAACCCTTTAGAAATGTATTGCTAAAATTCAGACACTGTGAGGCAACAACAGTCAAAGAACACATCAACATAACCACGCTCCATCAGTGTACGCAGTAGTCTGTAACTTACTGGCAAGGTAACCATGTCCTCCACAAGCTTCTCGGCACTCCTGGGCTGCCTGCTGAGCAGTCCAAGAAGACAGTGGCTTGCTGGCAGCAGATAAGGCATGAATCTCACGTCCCAAATCAGACTTTGTGAAAAACAAGTTATAAGTGAGAAATAAATTTTACACAAAATAAGTTTGAGACTGGTTAAAGCCATAGTTATGTGTACTGCTTTACAATGAAGAAAACAGTAACTTGCAATACATAAATAAAATTTTCTGAGATTTATGCAAAGGAAGAACATTTTTTATTTTTTTTTTCTGCCACAAAAAAACCCAACTCTGCCACAACTGAAAAACCTCTGGCACTTTCCTATATGAGAAAGCAGTAATTTGTACCGGGTAATGGCCAGATGGGTACATTTTAGCTCAGATGTGCCAGATGACATGGCATTGCATGGGACAGTTCACTGCGTGCCAATCTTTCCCTCCTAAAGATGGAGAGGGAGGTGGTTGAAGGTGTCACGTGCAGAGAAAGCTTCTGTCCCCTCTGTGACATTAGCAATCCCTCTCTCTGCAGTTAGCAAGGGGATTTGTATGTTTACTGCCTTACCCATTTCCCCCTGATCTTCCAAGCATGAATTCTGCAAAGAGTAGGAAAATGTAAAAGTACCCCCTCAATTTCCAGAGACTCACAGTAGCCTGCATTTATACGAGCTCTGCTGGCCTTCCTTTGAAAATGTGTACGGAACTCCACTTCTTGGAGACAGGGGGCTGCTAATACCAAAGCTTGTTTAAGAGCAACTCTCTGGTTGTTTTGGGGTTTTTTTGGGGGGTGGGGGGTGTGTTTGTGGTTTGGTTTTGTTGTTTGGTTTTATTTTTAAGATCTCCTGTAGAACAAAGGAATTCATAAGGATTACATTCTTAACATGGTCAACAATCATATTTTTCTCTATCACGATTGTTTTTTGATAGCCACTTGTTCTGGTTTGAGCTAAACAGAACTAATTTTCTATTTAGTGGTTAATAGAGAGCATCTGTCCAGGATTTAGCGTCCAGCCCAGCCCTAAACCAGGACACCACTGTTCTGCCTAAGATTAGAGACTGCACCAGTGATCCTCAGAGATAAAATACCAGATTAAAAAAATCAAACAGATTCTTCTGTAGTTTGTGCAAAAAGAAATTAGAATACCCAGCCATTAGTACAGAGATCTTTAATGAGCTTTATTTTAGCTGAAGAAAAGTCTGAGTGTTTAAGTGTGATCTGAGCAATACTTATCCAGTGTGTGGACACTAATAATTATATTGTAAAAATTAAAAATATAAATAAAGCTTATATATAATAAAAAACATACTGCAGTTATTTTCTTTGAGAATCAAACTTTTGCAAAGAGGTGACTTCCAGTGGTCTGATTGTGGATGAGAAATTAAGCATTAAGACTCAAAAGTCTAAGCTTTTTTCTCCAAACATATTTATCCTACCACATGAATATGAATTGCAAACTCAAGCCAAACTCACAGCGTCTGTGTGGGAATTAAGAATAGTATAATTTCAGAAAGTCTTTGATATATGCCCCCTGCAGTATCATTTACAGCAGTTATAAGCTGAATTTGCATCATTATAATATATTTATGATAAACAATTCTGCAAGGCAACATAGCTTTAAATCTCACAGAAACCAATAAAACTTTAACGACTCCATCAAAACTAATTCGGACACTGAAGGCAACTTTAATAATTACTTCGTATCTCCCATATATCTGAGACATTGCTCTAGCATTCTTGATTGCAACATGGCCTAAAACTTCTAAGTCCTGCATTTAGCAATTTCCAGTTTATTATAGTAAGAACTCAGCTAAGAAGAAATGTGTGAATATCTCACCTGTCTCTGACTCCTTTGCTTTGTCAATAAGCCTGCATAAAATTCCACAAAGTTCTCAAACAGGGTTTTGGAGAAATAATCTAAAGCATATGCTGCAGCCAGATAAGGAAGAAGACGCCATTGCTAGAATAAAAATAAAATATATTTGATTGCAATTGATATGTATTTTTTATAGGTATATACATGTAACTATCTTTCAATATTGAACCAACCCATTTGTTTTTACTTTGTTCAAACTGGAAAATTGTCTTATGGAGAAGAGAGCTCAACAATAACCATCTATAAACATAATTAAACGTAATTACTCTATACACAAGTTACAGTTATGTTATTCTAGTTCATGCATTTTATGAATTTGTGATAAATTCTCTGTTAAACCAGTGCAAAAGGTCACTGAAGCTTTTGGGACCAACAACATATTTTTGCCCTGCGTTTATACAACGTGTGGCATGCTGAGGCCAGTCATGATTCATGTGTTCTTCAGTACCAACATCACAGAGGTCACTACTGTTTCAGTTGCTTGTTCACTGCTGAATGTGCATTAGTGCTGGTTGCATTCTGTGAGGGAAAAAAACCAACAACAACCAACAAAAAAACCCAAACAAAACAAAACAGGGCTGGGAAGAAGAGAAAAAAGCATCTTTGGTGCTCCATGCAACTCGGAGCCCATAAGGGAAAAGAGAAACTGCTTGAAGAAGCTTTTGTGGTAGAGCAAGAAAGGAATGAGAGGTTCAGCAAGCAGAGCCTACAGAACATGCCAAAATTGAGAAAAATTGAGACTCGAAGAATAGTGGGAAGCAGACCCTGGCTTATTCAGAAGTGGAAAGAAGGTGGCTTCTGCCAGTTTGTAGAAACCCATGAACACTTTCAAAGTTCCAACACTAAATGCAAACCCTAAAGGCAAACTTGGAAAAAAGCATCCACTTTGCAAGGACAAACTGAGCAGGTATGTTTTCAACACTTCTTTTCTATTAACCTTTCTCATTAAGCACATCTGAGTTTCCCAGTTGCCCTACATACTTTTTTTTCTATTTTTTCAGAGCAAAAGGTGTTATTCACCTGCATAACCTGCAGAAAAAACACTGGTTATACTCCTCTCAAAATTAGTGCTAGCTTGAGACTTCACCACAATGCATGCCATTAATTTCTACACTTTTAAAGCATAAAGGCTAAAAAAAGATAAAATTAGCATAACAGCAAAAGAAGCACTGACATCTTTACACAAATACTGCAATACTTTAAGGTGTGCATATAAGACAGTCTTTCTCTGAAAAAGTTATTATTTTAGAAGAAAAATGCTTCTAGGTACTTCAGAGAAACATGAACATTTTGGGGTTTGCTATTCCAAGAACTTTACATATAAAAAAGTCTGATCGTACCAGGAGAAGATATTGAGTTGGAATGAACCCCCACAGCTGCACTAGAATGACACTTTAGTTGACACAGAAAAGTTTAATTTCATTAACTTCAGTGTCACTATCTTGTTTTGCAGTAGCTCTGAGTTTCATTACAGAAAAGTCTGTAGATGTGGATCCAAAGTATTTACCTGTGTTTGGTATTCAAGAACAGGTATTTCCTCTTCATCAGTTGGTCCAAACTGACGGCGAGCTGCTGAGAAGCGAATGGCTATCGACAAGGCAAGCTTTAAATTGGTCGTGGAAATTGCTGTGATCAGAATTCTGCCAGTGGACAGGGATCCCAGAGCTGCACTAAAACGCTCTTTAACATCCTGAATGAATAAATGGCACAGACTGAATGGTGAGTATAACATTTAATTTACCTCCTCCATAAAGATACAATTCTGGTAGCATGATCAGTAGCCTGGAAGATCGGCCAATTTTGTTTCTTGACACATTCAGATAAGGTGTTCAGGCAAGACTCAAAACAGTTTCTCTAAACTACTTTGGGATCAGCAAGGTAACACAAAGAGCAAGTCAGTAAAGTCAGAAAGGTGAGCTGAGACATCTCTGAAAGTCAATTAAAAAACCAGCATTCTCACTATCTCATGTGAAATTCTCAACATAAGTCAAGGTATCTAGTACTTCCCAACATGAGAGGCCCATGTTCTATCTCTAGATATTAAATATACCTTTGTATATTTAATGAACTGTATTAACAAAACAAAACCTTGACTCATACCTTGATTGAACTGGAGTACTTCCCTTCAGCTGTGACATCTCCAGATATATTCAGTATGTTCTCTTTAGGTACCCTGACATTGTGGAACATGGCAAATCTGTTTAAACAAATAGACAAGCAATGTAAAATCGACCTCGAGCTTGAGGTAGACTCAACATAGCAGAGGAAATTCAGGATGAAAAATTATTTGTTATAACTCCTCAGTTTTGTTTTGTTTTGTTGTTTTTTTTAAAAAAAAACTCAAAATGAACCACCTTATTGACTATTAGGAGACAATTTCAGCAGCTTTGTAAATAAAGAAGCAAACAACTAACGGATGAATAATGTATTCTGTTTGAGAGGAAGAACAGAAGAAGTTACTGATTAGAGACTTTATACAGAGGTAGTATGTAGACACTTCCACCAACAGCCCAAAAACCTGAACGGAGTTCTCAGTCTGCATTAGTTCAGGTAAGTTACCTAGCCTGGTATCTCAGCTATCGCAAAGCTTGGAAACATGAACAACTTCCTTCTCCTGCTTACAACCTGACTGGGCCACTCTGACTCCTAATAATTCCCCGTCACAAACAGTTCTGCTGAA